TATATATATATATATATAAAAATATAATATAATAAATGATTTTAATAGTTCCTCAATGAAAGTACAATAACTGAATATAGTAGTTTGAGAAACACTGATGCAAGTTCATGTGTATAGCTACGTCTAACACCTCTGGTGTAACATATCACTTAAGCACCCTCATAACACTTACCATGCTTCTTTGTACGTAACTTAAGTTAATTTTAGCTTTCAGTAATCTTATGCCCTTCCGCTGGTCCCACCTATTTCTAAGCTACTTAAAATATTTCCATCCTGGATCTTAACAGTGAGCTGCGACGATTCTGAAGAAATGCCTGGCTGCAGGACAATCTTCTGTTATGACATTACACTGGATGAAGAGTTTTATCAAATCATATTAAGTTGACAAAGGTCTACTTTTTCCCAGAATAAGCTTGTTCTGTATAACTTGTATATAGCTAATGTAATAACATTGGAACTGGAGTCCTGCAGCAAATGGTTGGTAGACAATAAACTATAGTTACACCTCGGGAAAACGGAAGCCATACTCTTTGGCACGAAACATAAACTGAGAAGGGTAAATAATTTTAATGTCCGGTGTAATGGGGAGCCCATCACTTCAGTTTCCTCAGTAAAATATCTGGGAATCCCCTTTGACCCATGCATGTCAGGAAAATTGATAGGGAACAGTGTAGTAAAGAAAGCGAATGCCAGACTGAAGTTCCTCTACAGACAACCACAGTGTCTACCTACTGAGGCTCGCAGGACCCTGTGTCTAGCATTATACAGTGTTAAATGAACTACGTTTGTTCTTCATGGTACTCTACCTTGAAAACAAAAATGAAAGATAGACTACAAATCACCCAGAACAAAATGGTAAGATTCATCCTGGACCTGGGTCCAAGACAGCATGTAGGCCAGTATGAATTACAACTGGATATGCTGAATGTTGAAGACAGAGCAAAACAACTGAAATTAAATAAAGTTTATAAAATTGCTCACAAACAGTGTCTAGAATATCTTGTTGCTATTTTTGTCAAGGCTGGGAACCAAATCAATCATAGTACTAGGGGGAGAGAGCACCGCTTTGTATTAGCCAGTCAGTGGCCAGGCTTCGAACACCTTTTACTGTACAGCAATAAAGGACTGGAACAGACTGCCCGCACATGTCAAAGCCAGTAATAGCATGAACCAGTTCAAGATGAGAGCCAAAAGTTACCTAATGAATGTAGTGACAGAAAGGGAGGAAAATGATTTTTTATGTTTTTAGCTAACACACATGTAAATATAAATAACTCAGTTTACCTTATTCCTAGTTTATCTCCTTTACAGTATAATTTATTTATTTATTTATTTATTTAGTAATTCTAGCATACATACAGAGGTACAAAAAAATACAGGTAAGAGCAGCATGCCAAAGCCATTTATATGCATAGCATTACGGGCTGGCTTAAAATTAACTTAAGATTAACTAAGCAATGATGTATTCAGTGATAAAACATTATTGTAAACAGATAACTATAAAGCACAAATGAGTATTACAAAGACAGGTCATATGGTTGCATGCATTGTTGTACATTCAGTCGTATGGAGTATTCTGTTAGGTAGTGTATTTAAAAAAATAACAAAGTTAGATTGGGTCCTAGGTTTAACATTTGTGTGATATAATTGTGAGTAACATATAGGATATACAATTTATAAGGTTCAGTTATTCAGTATTTATTTGGTTTTGAGTGAGTAAGTGATCTTTGAGAAGAGACTTGAATTTATAAACAGATAGTGTTTCTTTTTATTTACAGGTAATGAATTCCAGATTTTAGGGCCTTTTATGTGCATTGAGTTTTGCATAGCGTGAGATGGACACGAGGACATCAAAGAGTGATCTGTGCTTGTGTTATGGTAAATGTGTTCTGTTGAGGTTGGGCCCAAGGAATGTTTGGGGGGAGGGTTAATATCAGAGTTAAGTGTTATATGTATGTAATAGGTGCAGTAATAAGTATGGATGTTTTGTATGGTGAGTAGGTTGAGTGTTTTGAATATTGGTGGAGTGTGCTGCCTGTAGTGAGAATTTGTTATCATTCTAACTGCAGCCTTTTGTTGGGTAATTAGTGGTCTGAGATGGTTAATTGTTGTTGAGCCCCATGCACAAATTCCATACGTGAGATAGGGGTAAATAAGAGAGTGATATAGAGCCAGGAGGGCTGACTGTGGAACATAGTACCGTATCTTCGATAGTATGCCTACAGTCTTGGAAATAAATAAAAGGACCCCAAAGGAAATAGGTCACTCTGACTTTTTATCCTAGGCTTTCTACACATATGCTGCTATGTTTGATAATACATGTAAATGTATTTGTGTATACCAGAATAAACTTACTTAACTTATTTCCAATGTGTCTTGCTGTTTATTACTTACAGAAATAGATTTTATTCTCTTTTCCTTTAGTGAATCGGTTCCGGATGGAACTTTCGGTCCAATTGATCCAACTAACAACAACAATTATGGATTCCTGAAGGATTTCTTCACTGAGGTGACAAGCCGCTTCCATGACCACTACGTTCATCTAGGTGGTGATGAGGTCAGCTTCAACTGCTGGTGAGTTGCAGTAGTGTGAAGTGTTGGCAATAATAATAATAATAATAATAATAATAATAATAATAATAATAATAATAATATATCTTTATTTACTACAAGTACATGTACAAGATGTACAGTCCTAGCTGACATCAATGACATACTACTAAATAGAAAGCCCCTTGTTATGCTGAGCATTTCGGGCAAATTAGGTCAGTTTTGTCCCAGGATGCGACCCACACCAGTCGACTAACACCCAGGTACCCATTTTATACTGATGGGTGAACATGGACAGCAGGTGTCTTATGGAAACACGTCCCTAATGTTTTCCAGCCGTACCGGAGGAGATTCGAACTCCAGACCTCAGTGTGTGAGCTGAATGCACTAGCAATCGAGCTACGGGACACCATGATGCTTCCCACCACATACCCACGTTATCAGAATTAAAAAATACACTGGTAAATAATTTAAAACAATATAATAAAAGTTGTTCAGTAAGCCTGGGGGCCATAGGGTCACTGAATAGGTCGGTCGAGGGCCATGTTGACGTAACACTTATTAGCGGTTGCTGATACCAACGGTCGCTACATTCTGGCTAGGCAAGGGGTATTAACTGCCAGTTATGACAAACTGGTGTTTTTTTTTTATTTAGTTATTATATGCATGGACAAGTGCCAAATCCATTTGGGTTATACAGTGCCTCAGTAATGAGAGATAATTATTATTTGATCCAAGGAAAGCATTTAGCTTCTTAAAGTTATGAAGAGTCCAAAAGTGAGGAAACATTGGCAGTTGATGATCAAAAAGAGGATTCGTGTTAAAAAATTTTTCAAAAATTTCTAAACGGTTTTTTCCTTTCGATAAATTACCGGGAATGGTTTTTTAAATTCTTAAACCAACGAAAGTTATAAAAAAATTTTGTCAGTTTTTTAAATTTTTTTAAAATTCCCTCACTAGTTTTATGTTTTCATAACCACGAAAAATTTTTGTCCCCACAAAAAACCATTTTTTCCCTAACGTACAGTAAACAAACAAAAAAAAAAGCAACTTTCTTTCTTAATGTAAAATTTACGGTATAAAATTTGGGCTTTTGGAGTATATTGTTTTTAAAAAACTATTTGTTTGGAAAAACACGAAAGGGCAAACACTAGGACTTGGAGTTGTACAAAAGTCTGGGGAAATGTTTATGCTGTAACTGTACCTTTTGTCCCTGATAGATTATCCCGTCTGACTTACCCCGGGGCAGTGTTTTCACTGTTTTAATGTTTCAATTTTAAAACTTCATCAGTGACTCTTTTTCCAGCAGAAAAAACCCCAAATTTTCCCTTTATCTTGATTTTAAAATTGTAACCTTAGGTTTATTTTTTAAATAATAAAACTAAACGTTTTTTTTTATCTAACATTTTAAATTTAAATTTTTCCCTGTGTTTACATCGTCACTAAAACATAAGAGGTTTCTTAAATTTGCGTTTTTTTAAAAAACCATTATAACCGCAACATTTTTTTGTTTTTGATTCTGAAATAGAATCTCTTGTAAATATGTTTTAATAAGAATAATAATGTGGGGTGAAACTCATTTTAATTTTTTTTAACGGGAAGAGCAATCCAAAATACCCACAGAGTTCAGGGGCTGCCCATAACATTAGGGAGTACAAGAAGCTGGAAAAATTTTTAAATATTAACCAATTCTTAAAATCGTTCCCAAACCTTCCCACAAAAAAAATTGGGGTTTATTTCAAAAAAAAACCTTGTTTTTGTAAACTTTTGGGGGCACTAAAATTTGTTTAACAGATGATATTATTATTTTAGTTAAAGTAGAATACTTTCATAAATTTTTTTTTTATATTACAACAGGGTACGAAAAAATATTTAACTACCCCAGGAAACCTAGTGTGGCAGGAAGTGTTTGACAATGGCATGACTTTTGCTAATGACCCCTTTGTTCAGTTTTGGAAAAAGGTGAGGGAAAACTCCTTCGGGATGGAAGCTAAACTGAATCAGGTTTATCTTTTCCAACTTTCTACTTTTTGGTTTAAAAAAAATTAAAATTGTTTTTTAATTTTACAATGTTTAAAGCTCCGAGTGTTTAAAAAAAAACCCAAAAAAAACAAAAGGGAAATGGGTAAATTTTTTAACAGCTTCGGTAATGGTCAAAAAAAAAACCGTATGTTTTTTTGTACTGATATTCAGAAGGCCCATGGGGATCATTTTTAAAAAATTCAAAGAAGACTGAAAAAAAAAAAAGGTTTTTTTGGGGGGAATGTCGAATTAAGCCCGGGACTGGATTTAATCATCTTCTAAAAATTTTTTTTTTTTTTTATTTTTCCCCCCCAAAAATGAAAATTTTTTTTTTTTAGTAAAAAAATTTTAAAAAAATCCCTTGCTCACTTAAAAAATAATGGTTATCCCCATGTACTTATTTTGAACAAAAATTGTATAGTTATGAAGGAACAATCACAGCGCATTACTTTTACGTGCACTACAACAATGCCCCCTTTTCTCTATTTAAATTTAACTAAAATTTTTTTAAAACGGGGGGGACCGGTAAGCCAGTGGAAGGGACCCCGGTCAGATATAAAAAGCTTAAGGGGATTAAAATGATTTACGGGGGTCTTATAGGATGATCCTCCACTGATCTTCTGGCCCACCCTCACCGACCCTTCCACTGTTTTACCGGGGGGTCCACCCCCTTTTAAAAAAATAAAAAATTAATATACCCATTAAATCTCATTACTGCCTCAATTACTACGTTTTAATGTGTTTATCTCGGTACAAGATTTCTTTTGCTGGGTCTTTCTTTTTTCTCTGTTTTGGGTTAAACCCTTAAATTTTAAAACAAAGCTGCTTGAATACTTTAAACAAAAAAGTTTAAAAAAAGTCCACAAATATAACTGTGGAAAATTGCATTTATCTGAATGTAACTCAAAGTCAAAAACAGTAATGAACAAAGATAATTATTATTATCAGTTAGACAAGTAGGAAATTTGGGGCACCTAGGTTTTGCAAAAAAAGTCCCCCCTTCCCATACCTACCACTTCATATCCACAAGTTGCTTGGACCCCATTAATTACAAAAAAAAATGTGATACCCCAGAAAAAAACTGGTTTAAATAAAAAATTTTTGGGCTGTATATTAAAAAAAATAAATTATTATTATATACAATATACATAACGAAAGAAGGGGTATCTTAATATCACTCACAATTTTTATTTGGGGATTAAAAGGGGTTTTCATACTCAGGGAAAAACCCCCACTAAATTTATGAAAAAAAAAAACGGGGCCCGAATTTTTAACACAAATTTTATTTTATCTTAAACTGAGGGTTTTTGGGGCTTTCTTGGGCCCCGTCGTCGATATCTCAAGTTATGCAGGGAAAGCACACCCCAAAAAATTTCGCCTCCTATTTGAGAGGTGTCAGCCCAATTTTTCCTCCAGGGGCAAAGAAAAAAATTTTCCCCCTTACACAAAAGTTTCTAATCAAAAATTTAAACCAAAAAATGGCGAGTTCTTCTGCACGGCACAGGCTTCCCCTTTTCGATAACAAATTTTTATTTTAAAAACAATATGGCCAACTATTTAGATATAACTACTTTTATTTCTGGAAAAAAATATACATTTTTTTTCCACACAGCGGCTGGGTTTGGGGTTTTATTGCTAAACGACTCAAATTGCTCATTTTGGGAATGGTGGAGGACCTGGGTACATATTGGAAACTGGCATCCACACGGCGACAATTTACACAAGATTTTAATTCCCCCCCCTTTTTTCCCCTTTGCCGCCCCTTTTGGGGAAAAACCAAAAGTTTCCCTAAAAACAATTTTTAAAGGGATCTTGTACCCCACCATGCATTACATTTTTTTGGGGGATTTGCAAAAATCAAATTTGGGTTTGATGATGAGTTTTGGGGGAGTAAGATAGGGTGTTTAGCTAATCACCCAATTCGCTTTTTGTAACCTACCCTGCACCTAATTACATTGTTCTCAAAATACAGCCCCTTTTCTCTGTTAGGAAAATTTTTCACAATTTTTCTTTCCATCATCAATTTAATCTCTTTTTCCATAGTTTTCTTCTTTACCCTCTTTATCCAATATTCAAGGGGATGGAAAACTTATATGTTTCATTCATCTCGTTTAGAAATTTAAAACGAATTTAGTTACTTTGATTAGTTGGGTAAAGAAAAAACCTATTTATATCAGTGGCTAAGGGGGACAAACTATTGGAGCGGTGGTACAGTAATTTAAACAGGGCAATATATGCCTTTGTACAGGCCAATTAGCTTTTTTTTCCAACCAGCTCGGTCCTTTAAACCAGATCGCATTTACAAATTTAGCAAAAGGGAAAAACCTCGAGAAAAAAAAAAGCGGTTTTCTCCTCACCAGGTATATGATTAAATGTTAACATATGCTACCAAACTATTATATTCTCTTGCATCTGATTAATTTCGCGACTCTGTTTTTGTACGTACAAATTTTCTGTTTCCTTAAGAATCCATTGAAAAGGATACCCATTATCAGCCTTTAAGTGTCGCTAATATTTATCTCCTGCAACTTATTTCTTATATAATTAGCTAATTTGACACCTACAAAAATGGCTGTTTTTTCCCAAACTGAGGCAAGGTAATGTTTTAAATTGGGGAGACACTTTCCCAGACAAAAAAAGAGAAAAACACATTACATTGAAGATAAGCAACGCTCCATAGCCAATTTTGAAGCCCACAAAAAATGGGGAGTACATTTTTCCCTTTTGGGTTTGGCGGGGGAACTCCAACTTTGGGAATTTTCTCATAACCAATTAATTCATCCCAACTGAAAATAAATTTCCCCTCAGGTAGAATTTCACCCCCAAGCACTTTTAACTTTCCATGCTTCCTGGATTAAAATTTTCCCTTTATAGAAAGGGGGTGACACAAAAACCTAGGGACAAAATTTTTGGAAACTTCGCAAGAAAAAACTCTCTTAGTTAATTTATTGGGCATACTGAATTTAGGTTTTTAACTTTAACAAATCCTCTCAGTATCCCAATTTAAAACCCCAATACATT